TTTATAAAATAAAATATATTAAAAAGTTACTCTAATGCAACAGTTGAAAGGCTAAACAAAGGAATGGATTTCTCAGAGTTCATCCTCCAGTTCTCTGAAGAACTCAATTGACTAACTATGGGTTTTGCAGGTGACTGATGTCTGTGCTTAAAGTGGCTTGTTGCTCTCTGTAAGCCAACTTATTAAGTAAAATATTTAATATCTTTGAAAAGAGTAATGATTTATGTCAGGGGGAAGGTCCTTGAACACATTAACATTACAGTCTTAGAAAAGCTGGTGTTTTACATGAAGTGACTAAATGAACACACTGACTATATAGAATACAGTTTTTACAGACATGATTAACACTAGAGAAAATTAATGAAGAGCAAATTGTTATCAGACAGTAATAATCCTATTACTGTCTTCTGAAAAAACACATAAGAAACTCCATGGAACGACATTTTGAACTCAATGGTGCTACTTCTGCTGTTAAGTCAGTAAATTCCCTGTGTACCAAGATTTACTGTGACACAGTAGTTTCCAACACAAGTGTCCTCCCTATTACATCTAAGTTGCTTCAGCCAAAATTTAAAAATATCACTGCATTTTGGTTCCAGTCTGGAAAATATAAGGAGTTGATGGAAGAAGTCTACAGCCTTACATTCTGAAAGGAAAGACATCAAGAGGTTTTCATACCTAGGCAGTTTGATATGCTTCTCTTTCTTGTTTTAGCCTTTTGTCACCTGGTATAGACTTGATTAAGGCAGAATATCAGAGCAGCCAGAAGCTTACCATTCATTATTATTCTCCTCCTAAGCTGTAGATTTTATAAATTTGGGAAATATTTTTATTATTTATGGCTTAAACAAAGCAGTTTGAGGTGCAGCAGTAGGCAGCATGGTTGGAAGTAAATGAATGATTGCTTTGGGCCATGATTTACAACCAAAGTTTCTGTAACCAGCTGTTTGTGCATTGGCAGTGACAACCTGCTCTGGCTAAACCTTAGCACAAAAGAACTAATAGTTTATTAAATGTTAAAGATTGCCAGTAAATATGTATTTTCAACAGGAATTGTGAAATTTGGATGTGAATTTTTTTCAAAAGTGATGTAACAAAACATGTTACAGAACACAACTGCTGTATTTATATTTTGCACTTTCTTTGGCTTTAATCCTATGACAATATATCTGCTGTACTGGCAGGCAAGCAGTTGCTGAAGGTAAGTGCTAAATGTCTTGATTTGTCCCATGTGGGTGCACACTTGGAAAGTAGTAAAGTGAAATAGCAGGGCATGAGCTAATTATTATTAATGGTAGGAATACAAACTCCTTTTTTATATCATCTTCCTGTCTTTGTTTCCACTAACCTCTGTGATTTGCAGAGTGTGATATCAATGCAAAACTGCAACATGTACAACACAGCAGACAAACAAAAAAAAAATTCCAATTTTTCAAAATATGTTTGTTCATCTGTTTTAAGAAAAGAGCTCTCAATTATAGTTTGACTTTCAAATTAATAAGATGGTGTGAAATGTTGTAGGACCTGGGTACAAGGATGTCATTGATCAAAATAAGACACTCTTCATGGAGAGCAATCAGGACATAATGGATTTATGCCTGAGCCTTTAATTTCTATTTTCTGAATTTTCATTTTTTTCTGCTGACCATAAAGAAATGTTTTATATTGTCATTTCAGACACTTAGCCCTTTGTAAATAAAACCCACTTAGTTGTAACTGAGAAAGTGAAGCCAGCTGGTTGCATCTTTACCTGAAGTCTGTGCACAGAAATCTTTCCCACACTTGGGTGGCTCAGTAACTGTTGTACTTCATTAGATTTGCTTGATATACACGTGAAAATTTTTCATCCTGCTGCAAAAACTATGCATAATTATGCTGGGCTCCCTGAGTCACACTGTATTCATCTATTATGAGGAAGAATACAAATGTTCATTTGAACACAAGAGCAATTAATGACAGATGAAAAGAATCCCCTATGCCTAATTCTGTAATGTTCACAACTATATATCTGCAATAGCATTACTGTTCAGGATCATTAAGAATAAAGATTTAGGATTCTAATACAGAAAAGGGCTAAAATAAGTTTGAGAAGAATGTAATGACCATAGGTTTTGTATCATATGATCTTTATTTGAATAGATATGGTGAAATTGCATTTTATATCTTGATTTTTTTCTTTAAAAATGTACCAAAAATAGCATATTTTTCTTTGGTAGTGTCTAAACAACTTTGTTGCAAAAATAAAGGAACAGAAATGTTATTTTCCCAACTCTTTAAATTGTATATTTTATCTGAACATTGGAACAAGTCTTGAACTAGCGTAGCTGTTCAAAGTCTTGCAAAAAGTCAGTTGAGCTGACCGTGTTAGTATTTCACTTTATATTCCTGTTATCTGGATTTTATTGCTTTGCCTGGGATCATTAATTTTCCTTCATAGCTTTGAATAGTTTTGGAGTTCTTGATGTGACTGTGCTCACTCAGCAAGGAGCTCTGACTCTGTCCCTACTTGTCTTTGCCAGGCCCATCTCTTGAAGTATGTACAGTGTCAAAAACCCCAGATGAGACAAAACCCTAAATGCACAGAAAGTATTTATTGCAGCCTTTTGTTTAAACACTGGACAAATATTAGCAAAGCTCCCTCTGAAATGCCAGAGTTAGAGGAAGGTCCATTCAAACTCCTCAGGGCTACAGAGTGCTCAGACAGGGCTGGAGTCTGTACCAGGAATTTCTTGGCTCCTGTACTCAAATTTAGGCTTTTGTAATGCAGTTTTTATTTCTGGGGGTGGGACACTAACATCATTGTCTAATGAGCTCTGCCAAACAAAACAGAGGAAGGCATGCTCGGTTCAGGAGTAAACTCTGTCCTAGTCAGCTCATTTCACGTGTATCTGTTTGCAGGAATGAGGCTTAAGGAAAAAACAAAAAGCAGGGAATGCAGGAGTGTTCTCAATCAGTATCGTATGTGACACAAAGCAAGCAGCTTGCCTCGTTTCTTACCAGCATCAGTGGCTGCACTTGTGGGTGCCACTGAGTATTTCTGGGCTCCATCCCATTCACATTTCAACTCTTGGTGTCTAGGTAGTAGAGAAGAGGGATGGTGGAAGTTGTGTTTTATTGTCTAAAGACATCACTATGGATGGATATTCACATTTCAACTCTTGGTGTCTAGGTAGTATAGAAGAGGGATGGTGGAAGTTGTGTTTGTTTTACTGTCTAAATACATCACTATGGATGGACGGTTTAGTGTACAAAAGATTTCCCCATAAAATTGAGGAACAGATATGCAGCTTGGTTTTGCTTGGAAATGACCTAATTTGAGACTAGACTGCGAAATGTAAGTGAGCAAAGAAAGGAAACAGTTTTTGGATGAGCATCTCTTTTAACCCTAGGAAATTACATTGTAAATGCACAGTCGTTGAAGTCATCAGATATATTTAAGCACAACAATTTTCATTATCAGGTTCTTAGGATAATTAATTTAATTCTGCTCCTTAGGGTGCTGATGGAACAACTTTATTAATACACAATTTTTAGGCATTCAGAGAAGCAAGTTGAGGACATGTTTGAACATGTTTCCTGTGGATCTTTAGAAAGCTAGCCCAACACTGACATTTCTGGCCTTTTTTACTTGTTTTTGTTTGGTTTTGATCTGTTTCTGCATAGAAATGTGTATATTAGGTATGACCATTGTTTTAGCATATGATTTGTCAGCTTTTTTTTTTATTTCTTAGAAGTGTTGCGTGTTGCATAATTCTTGAAAACACTGGCAACAATGTTGCAGTACTCTTTATTTTAAAAAAGCCTTTATTTAGGTTTCTATGGTGTTGTTACATGGTTATAATTTATTTGCATGTATGTTTAATCAATTTTTAAAGTTTCAATTACTTAGCAACTTCAGTGTTTCTTAGTTTATTCTTGTGGCACTTCTCTGGCAGAGTTCAGAGCATAGTAACCATTGTAAATTAATAAATATTTACATTTGTGTGAATCCTGCAAAAACATTACATTTTAGCCCCAACCTCAAAAAAAGAATTTCAAACTCCTGAAAGAGTTCACCATTTAGCAATGCCTGAAAAGAAGGGAAGCTACTGTAGCCTGACACAGCAGGAGCAGAAGAACAGTGCAGTTTGTGAGCAGGGTGAGTGCTAACCAATGCCCTTGCACATGCACCCAGCCTGTGATGGCCGAGTTAAACTTCTGGTGTTGGGCAGAATGCCCTGATCCACCATGAAGCTGATACATGGAAGACACTCAATGTGTAAAGTTTACTGCTTTGCAAGTTTCCATAATCAGCTACAGAATCACTTGCCAATATGTAGCTAAACTTTTTTTGTATAAGAAAAAGCACCTGAATGTTTCTTTCAGCATGCAAAATATTCAGATGAACCTTTTTTTAAAAAAACATCTTTAAAAAATATTTCATAGAACCGTATCTCTTATAACAGAAAGGTGGTCAAACCAGGTTTTCATGATATTGTTCATGAACTTGCTGCCCACAGTCATTTGTGCCTGTTAGTGTCACATGAGGGGATGTGTGGGTAATGGACTGCAGCAATGCTTTCTTACATACTTACTGAGATTATTAAAGCTTTTGGACAACCTTTCTATGATTGCTCTGTCAGCTTTTGTTTGGGTTTTATGTTGTTGTGTGAATCTTTTGAAGGGGTTTGTTCATTTGTTTTTCAAATGCTGAAAGTCTTATTTGTGCAAGGAGTCATAGCCATGCTCTGATGTGTTTGTAGTCTTTGGAGAAGACTTAGAGCTTGGATGGGTTTTCTTTGGTTTTGAGGTATTTTTTCCTTTCAGTAAACATCTCTTTCTCTCTTAGTGTCTTGACAGTACACAGAGTATCTGTGCATTTCAGTGCAATATGTACTCAATAGTATAACAGGGTTGAGAAGAAGATTTATGCTCATCTTGGAAATATATTTTGTCATAATGTTTGTACATCTACACATTTTCTAGTCATTGTGGTTTATTTATTTATCTGTTTCTTCTAGAATGGTTGCCTGGGGAAAACAGCACTGCTGTGTTGGCAGAATACAGGACATTTTCTTGAGATTCAGGATTGTTCAAGCAGTCCTTTTACTTCAGTTGTTCTTGGCTACAGCAAGCAAAGGTAAGAGGATTTTTTCCTGATTTGTCTAGTGTTGGTATTCTAAATAAATACCATTAATCTTGATGAATAGAACTTTTGAATATGTTCAACTGGGCAAGTTTTTTGCCTCTTGAAAACAAGAGATAAAACTGTCACTAACAAGAAATGAAACAGTTGGTGCTTAGCATTTTGGATGCTTTGTATGTTTCAATGTAAAATCATTGGTAGTAACTTCTTCTAGGCTGTGGATGAGGAGAGAACCAAAACACAGTTTGTAATAACAAGATAAATTATTTTATTGCTGGGGTTTTTTTGAGCTGGAGGTGTTACTATTTTCAGAACATGTTGTTAAATCTTTTATACTGCTCTTATAAAAACACTGCAAGATACTTTGAGCTTTGCTGTATTTAGGGCGTGTGTGAGTGTACAACATCTCCTGCATTGATCTTGGTTGTGGATCTGAATATGGCTAAGGAAAAAATAACAAGGCCCAAAACATGTATCAGAAATGAAGTATTTGAACTTGGCAGTCTATACTCCTTACATAATAGTAAATGAAAAATAAATTCATAAGGTCCTTATGGAAAACTGATGTGGTGATGCTTTTGTGTAAGGTAAAGTAGAATAAAGTGAGGTAAAATAATTTGTGTTTTTTCATGGCTAAAAAATTTCAGGTTTTTCTGTAAACTGATGGCTAGTCTGTTACTGCTCTGGACCTCAGCTGATAAGGATAACAGTGCTTGTCATTCATACAGCTTCCTTATGTCAACAGTGTGTAGTGCATTTATCATGTTAATAATGTGCTTAGTGTATTAAAAAAGTCCGAGTGTTTTCTGCTGTGTACTTAATGGCTAGTTTCAGAGCCTTCTTTCTGTGTCATGGCATGTTATTTTACTCTAGGTCAGAACTTGCAGTTCTGATTTACTGCTTGATTTTTTCAATTTAAGCATGCCTGATTAACAATGTTGTACAACCAATGAGGTTTCATGGGTTACAGATTAGACTAGTTTTGACTCTAATTCTCCAGATACAGCAACTTTTACAAAATGTTTCTATTGAGACAGAATCTGAGATTCAGGTGGTTAACCTGCTGCTAAGATGGAGAGGTGTTAACCTCTTGTACTTTAAATAGTAAAAAGGACAAAGCTGCTCAGCAGATGGACAGATGTTGTAGAAGAGTTTTTCCAGGGGAAATTTAAAGTATCTAAAGTTCTGAGGAAGCAAGCAATCATTTCCCACCTTTGTATCACTTAAAACTGTCATAAATCATCAAGGAAAGCTAAACTGACACAAGAGTGTGTTTATCTTTTCCCCCTATTTTATTGGGGTATTTTGGTTTTAGGCTGTCAGCAGTTAGTAGTGTCAGCAGCATCTCTACTCAGTTCTCTCCTCATCTGAGGTGTCGAAGTATCTTTGTGTTCTCCAAAAAATATGAAGAGAGAAGAACTTCCTGTGGTCTTTTTGATGCTCAGGATGCTGGATAAGGTGATGTTATTTATCCCCAGCTAAACAAATAGAACTGTGAATGAAAAGGAGGGATGAAATTGATTTTGGGGAAACAGTTCTTAGCTTCAGATTTTTAAAATATTCAACAGAATCAAGTGACCCACACATAGAAAGTTTAGAGTTTTAGGCTTTTTTATAAAAAATGGTTATGAGCTCCAGGTGGAATAGTTGAGTATACAAGAGTCTTTTGACATCATTTTAATGGACTGTAGTGTACCAAACGTGTCACAGGTGGCAAACACTTGCAAGGAGGTTAATGACTATTGTTACTAGTTAAAAGACAGATTGAGCAGACATGTAAACTTGTGACTATTTTTATTCAAGAGAATACCTGACTATATTAATGCTCAGCTGTATACTGATACAGTGGTTTAGTGGTTTAGTATTTCCTTATATTAGTAATATAAGGAAAATAACACTGGTGCTTATGTACTGAGAGAATCTGCTCCCATAGGTCTAATTCTTAATACCTACCTAATTCTTAATACCTGATGGCTATCTCTTGTAAAGTTCACAATTATCACTGTCTAAAAATGTTTAGAAAAAAGAAAGAGATGCATTTTTGGTTTATGTTGTCCTTCTCAGAAAATTCATTTTAAACATCTGGAATTATGTGCATATGTTACAAGGATTTCTATTAGGGCTTAAGAGAACATGCTTATTAAATACATGCTTTTAGCTTAAGTGAGGGCAAAAACCCCAGGTTTTGCATCTCTTAGAGATAAGTATAGTAAGAAGAAAAAATTTTCATTTCTGACAAGGCTTATGTGCCCAAACACAGCAGAAAACATTGAATAGTCAGCCCATGATTACTACTGAATGGAGTTTCCTTCATCCAAATGGTGTTTTATTTGTTTTTGATTATTTTTTAAAATATTATTGATATTTATATTTTCTTTACTCTGGATTTTTCTTACTCTGGAGCTGTTTGAAATATTCTTTCCACTATGCTCCCTTTTCTGTGCTGTAAAGATGTGTTCATGGCTACTTTTCTGAATTCATTGCATTGCCTGCATGCAAGGAGACTTCAGGGATGCTCTGTTAGAGCACAGGCAGTTCCAGCTCCTCGGTTCCATGGTCAGGGGTGGGTCACAGCCCACAACCACTATTGCTACAGAAAGTAAGTGATGATTAACAGATCTTCTAAAGGCTTTACTGTAATGTCATCTGCTTACAATGCATCCACCCACATGTCAAGGAGACTTAGTCAAGATAATACAGATAATTAATTTCTAACATAATGCTGTACTGCACTCACTTGGAACAACAAAGTACATTTTCTGATTATGATTCCAATTTCCTTTCTGCTTTTCCAGCATTCTTTGGGTAGATAAAGCATATTCAAATTTCCAGCCTTTCTAGCAGCAATTCAGATAGTATTGGTATCTATTCTTTTAATTTTGGCATCTCTTTTTGGCACTTTTTTTATGACTGTTTAGAGCAAAGTGGGCCATCTTTCCATTTTGCAGAAGGGTAGACCTTTCTATGTAAACACTTTTCTTAGTTTAAATTAATTCTTTAGGCCTTGAGTATTGATCAACAGCAGCCTTTTTGGATTATATGAAGCAGACTGGAAGAATCATAGCAGATTGGTATCATTTTGCTTAATTTCTGTTGTCTATCTGTCTTACAACTGTTTTCATCTACAAGTTTGTGTCTGCTCTGGCTCCCTTGACAACTTTGAAGTCACAATTTCCCTAAATAATGTAATAGAAATTAGCAGCCCTTTACTCCACTATTGCCATATCAACACTGCTTTAATGCTTAATGTGAAATCAAGCCTCTCTCAGAATTCATTCACTTCCAAAACCAAGCCTGCTGATGATACTTCAAGTTTTGATTAGTATTTTTGCTAAGGAATGGAATTCCAGTCTGTCAATTTGGATAGTTAACAGTAACTTCAAGTTTTGAAGCTGTGTCAGGAAACTTCCCTTACCAGTCAATTTCTACTTAATAATGAAAGACTTGAGCAATTTTTTTTTATTTGGAAAGTCTGCGTCACCAGTATCGGCATGTAACTAGCTGGCTATTTCCTTTAGAAAATTGGTTTCCTTATGACCTGTCCATGCTGTCAGGTGGACATGTGTTTTAATTTTACTTAAAAAGGTAGGTATATTTGAGCCCCTATTTTGAAAAATCTCATATTCTGTGACACTTTCCCCTCCCATCCAGTCTTCCTCATCCAACTTTTAAGTAGTTTTAAAAATTAGTTTTCCATACTGAAGTATTCTTAGCTGGGTATCCCAGATTTTGCTTTCAGACTGACAAGTGGCCAAACTGAGTGAGTGAATTCATGCTGCAGGGTTAGGCAGGAGAGGCTTGCTGTTGGGTCAGGTATGTCTTTCTATTCCTTTGCCATTTAGAACCAATCTAAGTATTACCTCACCGTTCAAAATCCACTGTCTGATAGGATTTTCACCCAATTTTAGCCTGTACCCAGAGAGTTTTTGTTTGGTCTATGGCCTTGCATGGCACTTTTGTCACATATGTTGAACTTCAGGAACAATTCCAGGTTGTGAAAAATGCCTGCAAGCTTCTGCTAGTTAGCATCGCAGAGAAACTCTCGAATCTATAGGAAGCAACAAGAATAGGTATCAATGAAACTTTCCATGAAACTGGATTGATATATTTTCTGTTTCAAACGTTTCTGATAGCTTGTACCTATCAAGTTGCACTTGGAAGTTAAGAACTTTCTCCTTGTTTTCCCTTGTTGCTATTGAAAAATGAATTTGAGAGCCTGGAGGTCAAAAGACAGAAAAGTTGTCAGAACTGGCCTGATGAAAGCTGGTGCTCTGGTTGCCTGAGAACATTACAGAAGAACTGGCTGTGATCTTGACAGCTAACTAGGACTATGAACATAACCTACCCTGGAAAAAAAAAACCCTGATCCAAGTTGCCTGGAAGTTCTTCTTCTTACAGAGGAGCTAATGAAAAAGGTTTTTTCCTATGTTGGACAATCTTTTTCTGCTTTCCAACCCTCACCAATCATGATTAATCCCATACATCCTCTGGAGCATACAGAAAAGCTCTGCATATATTGATAAATGATTACTTCCTTAAAGGTGTCAGTAGTGTGTTCTCTTGCACTGGCTGAACATCTGACAGGCTGTTTCATTTTTCTTTTGTTCCATTTCATGTTCCAAATGAACTTTTTCTTATTTTGTTGCTGCTGTGTGCACCATAAAGCAAGCAGCCATGATAATGGTTATGTGATTCAAGTGTGTTTATTTCCACAAAATGTGGAAATAATGAACTCCAAAGAGTTCACATCTACAACCACAAAAGTCTGTCCTTTCCTTTACTGGGACAATGGAAGAAATTAGTCACCTGCAAGAACTGAACAGTTACAATCAAGTTTCAGTGTTTGGGGCATTGTCTGGAACTACTTGTTTTATAGGCAAGGTGCCTGCTGGACCTGTAATTTATGAACAGAGAGGGTTGTTGGATTATGTGATGGTTGGAGGCCTCAGCAATTACAAAATTATTAGCTTTTGATTTTTGGAGACTTGAGGAGACTCTGCAGAACTGCCACCTTGGACTTCTGGAAGGGAGGCTTTGGCATGTTTAGGGGATTGGTTGACAGAGTCCTTTGGGAAGCAGCCTTGAAGGGCAAAGGAGTCCAGGAAGGCTGGACATTCTTCTTCAAGAAGGAATTCTCAAAGGGGGAGAAGCAGCTCATCCCCTGCTGAAAGATGAGCCAGTGGGGAAGATGACCAGCCTGGATGAACAGATAGCTTTGGCTGGAACTCAGGAAAGAAGAGTTCATGACCTTTGGAAGAAGGGGCAGGAAACTCAGGAGGACTACAAGGATGCCTTAAAGTTAGGCAGGGAGAAAATCAGAAGGGCCAAAACCCAAGGAAAATTTAATCTGGCTACTGCCATAAAAACTAAAAATGTTTCTATAAATACATTAACAACAAAAGGGTGAAGGAGAATCTCCAGCCTTTATTGGATTGAGGGGGAAATTTCGTGACAAAAGGTGAGGAAAAGGCTGGTGTACTTCATGCTTTCTTTGCTTTAGTCTCAGAATACCCAGTCCCCTGAGCTGCAATACAGGAATGAGGAGCAGAATAAAGCCTCAGTTGTTTGAGGTTCTGCTGCTCCTCTTCCTCCTAGCTAGCTGATGACAGGAGCAGGAGGACGGCAGTTTCCCCCTCGAGCTCTCTTGAATCCCAGGTGCCAGTGTTGGGGCGTTATAAAACACAGGGCAGCACATGGGTCCCGGGGTAACTTTATTTGATGGTAAAACTTCCCCTCTTCATCCTTGGGACCAGGAACAAGGGGCAGACAAGAACTTATATGTGGAGGCAGGTCTCAGGGGAGGGTACAATATTTAACAAATCAGGAGAATTGGGAGTAAAAAACCAGGCGGGAACCACAAGGTATAAACCAATAAAAATTCCAAGGGAGGAGAACACTTTCAGTAAACTGATAAAGTTTGGGGAAATACAAACTAGGAACTAACTGACGAAAAATCTGAGAAAAGGTGGGAACAAAAAAGAAACAGCATAAAGAAACTCCCAAATTACAAATCAAACAATAAACCTACTAATAAAACAAAAAGCACCCTGCAACATGGTTCAACAAGGCCAAGTGCCAGGTCCTGTGCTTGGGTCACAGCAACCCCATGTAGCACTACAGGCTTGGGGAAGGGTAGCTGGAAAACTGCATTACCTAAAAGGATCTGGAGGTGTTAGTCAACAGCTGCTGAACATGAGCCAGCGTGTGCCCAGGTGGCCAAGAAGGCCAGTGGCATCCTGGCCTGTGTCAGCAATCGTGTGGCCATCAGGACCAGAGCAGTGATTGTCCCACTGCACTCAGCACTGGTGAGGCCACATCTCAAATCCTGTGTTCAGTTTTGGGCCCCTCATTTCAAGAAAGGTATTGAGGTGCTGGAGCATGTCCAGAGAAGGGCAATGGAGTTGGTGAAGAGTCTTGAGTACAAATCCTATGAGGAGCAACTGAGGGACCTGGGGTTGTTTAGCTTGGAGAAAAAGGAGACTCTATTGCTCCCTACCTTAAGGGAGGTTATAGCCAAATGAGGGTCTGTCTCTTCTCTGAAGTAACCAGCAATAGGACAAGAGGAAATGACCTCAAGTTGCACCAGAGGAGGTTTAGATTGGATGCTAGGAAACATTTCTTCATGGAAAGGGTTGCTAAACATTGAACCATGGTGCAGAGGGAAGGTGTTGAGCCACCATCCTTGGAGGTGCTTAAAAGATGTGTAGATGTGGCACTTGGGGACATGGTTTAGTGGTGAACTTGGCAGTGCTGGATTGACAGTCGGACTTGATGATCTTGGAGGTCTTTTCCAGCCTAAATGGTTCTGTGATTCTACATGGTCATCCTTGTTCTTGTACATAAGTTTTACTTCAAAGTTTTTGTGAGCAGGTAGGATTTATTGACTGCCTCCAAGTGTGTCACTTCCCTACCACAAAAATAAATCTAAAGGAGTAGGTTACAAGATCATTTCTTAATATGTTGTTTTGAAAATTCCTAGGAAAATGCCTAGAAACAGTACTATATGGAAAAATAACTTTTATATAAAGGATCTTTTTTAAGACCTAAAGGTTTTACAAATCTTTTCTTTATTTAGATGAGGAGGATTTCCTAGGGAGATACAAAGCTGTCTTTAAGACTGCATGTGAAGATCCTTGGAGTATGTCATCAAGAATTTCTCTGCGTCCCTTGAGAGAATTCCTTGTCTGTGTGCACCTCAAGCTGTATTCCTCAAACAGTCCATGGACAGCATATGTATACGCTGAAAAAACTCTTCACACCAATCTCTCTGCAAATAAGTATGACCTTGGACTTACAGGAGATCGTGGTAAATTGAAGATATGGTTGTTTGGAGAACAAATAAGCACAACAGTAAGACTTCGTAAAAACATTTGGAACCAAATATGTATCCAGTGGAAAAGTGACAATGAGGAGGTGAAGGTATTCATAAATGGAACAGAAAAATTACACAAGAAACTAAATGGGAAAGTTAATTTGCCTGGAAAAGGCCAGTTCTTACTTGGCTGTTCAAAGCTGCAAGGTACAGCTGCAACACCTCGCCAGGGTATGACTGGGGAGCTGTACCTGTTCAGAATGTGGGACAAGGCAAATATAACACAATCTAAGGACTGCCAGGATAGTGGTGTTATACGCTGGAGAAAGGAGGATTGGACCTATAACACGACAATAGAAGAGGATAACTCTTTGCAATGTGGTAAGTACCACTGCACTGCTTTTGAAATAGTAATTCAGTCAAAAGTTGATCTAAGTGTATCTAGCATTTCATTTCCAGATTTTACAAAGTCTCAGTCTATTCATAATTTCTAAAATCAAAATCAAATTCTTGATGAGATCATGTGAGGACGTTCAATTTTGACTAGTTTTTATCCAAACAAAAAAGTAAGCATCAGTCCTTTAAAAACTTTCAACTTGCTTCAACTTTTCTGTCTATCAACCATTTGTGTAATATGAGAGCAGGATACATGCAACTGAGACTCCTTGGAGTACTGGGGCATGTATCAATTTCTTCTTAAAATAATTAATTTTCATATTTTCTGTTTGGGGAATAAATATAGAGGAAAGCATTGCTGGTTCTCATTCCGCACATTTGCTGGGACAAAACTTCAACGAGGGCAACTTTTCACTGCTTCAACAGGCACATTACATCTTCAGCTGGTAGGGTCTACATCTGCAAAAAATTATAGGAGGATCCAATTTCTTTATCAGTACCAGTAATGACTCCTTTATTAAAATGACCAAATGGTTTCTCACACGTTTCTCAAATTTTCCTTCTTCCCTGAAAAAGAATGTAAAATCCTTTGAATCAAACCAATCCAAGATTTCATTTTCAGAGAAACTGAGTTCAAGCAAGAGAATAATCCTATTTTTAGCTTTTGCTATCATATATGTTGGTAAAAACTCAAATCAAGCTTTGATGAAATGCAGTTTATAAATCATAGGAAATTATATTATCCCTTAGGAGATTTTAATGTGACTAGCTCAATTGTTTCCTAGAACAATTTTTATATAGCATCAGTGATTCAGTTTAAATGTGACACCAGTCTTAATCTTCATCACCTTTGTCCTTAAAAAATGTACCTATTTACTCCATGCAGATTCAAAAATATCTTTTTTCTATATAATCTTATAACCACTGCCTGACTAGATTCAAAGTGTCTCAGTAAGGGCAGTAAAATAAGGTGACGAGGTTTCTTTTTCTGGGAGAGAAAGAAATCTGTCCAACAAACCAGGACTCATGGAGAGTGCTGCTAGCAGTGTTTGTAATGAAGGAAATGCCTTTCCTAGCCTTGATGCTGTAGTTGGGAACACATCTTCTTTCTTGGGTTGTGTGACCTGGGAAAGGAGCTGAAGAAAGGATGGCTTTCTTTTACTTATGCCTGGCTGTGCTTGAAGGAACACAGTCCTAAGGCTGAAAGAGCACTCTCTACCAGACGTACAAAGGAAGTCTGAGAGAGGTATGTCTGTCTGGACAGTGGGGAAAATCTCCTTCAGAGTGGAGCATCTGATTGTCTTTTACTGATGCACAGAAGGAACAAACTCCTTGTTTTCTCTTCCAGCAGTTTCTGCCCTGAATAATGAGCGTCCCTGACCATCACAGGGCAGCTTGATCAGGCAATGCCCATCTGCAGCCCTAACTGATTAATGATTTTAGAATTCATGATTTAGTGGTTTGTGGAATCCTTTGTTTACCTGCAAGAGCTCTCCTACCGAGAATGTAAGATGCATGGTTTCCAAAGCTTTGTTGCTTAGCCAGACTGAATAACTATGCTGACACGGGTTTGTTTCAGTATAGAGACCATCTCTACTGCCAGATATAAGTTATCTCCTCTAGATAACTTGGGACATTAACAGCTTTTCAAAGAGATTTTGCTGGAATTTTTTTACAGTTAATTTGCCTCCCTTCAATAATCGATGCATTTTAGCTGAATACCCCCCAAGTCATCCTGTGAAAAGCATGTATTTAGCAAATACCAGTCTAACAGATAACAAAGGTTTTACAGTAGAAATATCTAATAGTCTGTGTCAGCTGATTTTAACTGATGCTGCTACTATTCTTACAATCTGATTTTTTTCAGTAAGTTCCTCTGAACACCTGTGTAAAAATTACCTGATTTGAGAAGCTTCTCTGTTTTGTGTTAAAGCAGAAGGACTTTGAGTAGTAAGTCTGCAGAAGGATCTAATTTTACATCTGCAATGAACATGACTGGCAAAGGGCTAAAGTTTAGCAAAGTCCTCTGTAGGCACAAAAGGTCAAAAGGAAGTGGTTCATTACAGTCATAAGTGTGCCGGAGGACAAGTTTCAGAATTTTTTTTTGTGACCTGGTTGGCACTTTGTGCCTACATAAATCAATTATTTGTAAAATTTTACGTCAAAGGCTACCATAATTTCTGTGATTTCTTCCTTGCTTAACCACTCAAAGCCTTTGTGCAGTGTAAGCCATTGTCTAATTGGTGTCTCATCAGCAGTGATCCATTCCATTAATAAGTCTAGATTTACTTAGCATTCGTTTTCCTGCCATTGTTTTTGTTGACTCTTCTGATTCTTTTACTTTAGGTTTTATAACTTCCTTTTGTGGAATTTTTTCAAATTACCAAAAATTTATTAATTTTTTTTCTTAAACATTTGAGGTCTAATAAGGATCAAAATCCTGGTTGTGGTAAGGTTCACATATATGCTTAGCATTTAAAGGTATGCTGAACTTTAACAGAGTAACTTACTGCCCAGAAGTGGCTGGGATTACCTTTGCAGTAGCTACTTATTTTATGCATCTGAAGATTTGCAAGAAAGGACATATCTGACTGCTTCCCGCTTTATGATGAGGCTGATCACATTTCAGGGTCTAATGGTTCTCAATAGTGAACTTTTATATCTGAGTTAAAGACGTGACTCTTGCTCCTTCCAGTGACAGAATCTTCTGGTTCTCCTGCTTGGTGTGACCACTGCACACTGGGCAGGTGTAAATACTGCAGGCAGGGCCAGAGAGGGAAGGCACTTGGTGTGTCACTGCCCTTCCACCACACTGGGCAGGTGTAAATACTGCAGGCAGGGCCAGAGAGGGAAGGCGGTCATGCACTTGTGTGTCACTGCCCTTCCATGTACATTCTTCATGTTCCTTTGATAATTCCCCTCTTGCTAAGAGTGAGAAGTAGCATAACAGCTGTGATATAGAGAGAAGAGTGCAGGCTGACTGTCTCTCACTTTACAGATCACCTCCTGGTATTTAAAAATGCCTAAGTGAAGAAAGATGTGCTTACTATTCCATATTCTTACCATGGAAAATTTCTTCATCTTTTCCTTGATGAATGATTCCTCTGTAGCTATATCCTTTAATGTGAACAATATGAATGATATCACTCTGTATAATCCAAGAAAAAAGTCTACTAAGTAATCTAAAGTTTGGGCTGATTTAAGGGAACGAACACACAAGAAAATAAATGAGTTTAAAGTGCTAAATTCTTGAAAAGAATCTCTAGTCACCTGTAAGTACCAGCTCTTCTATTGTCATTTTTGCATGTGATATTTTTAAGTTGCCTTTAATAATAACTTCACAGTGAAATGCACTGTTTAAACATTAATCATTTCAGTTATACATTAAACAGTGACTTTCTTAATCCAAATACAAATATCCAAACTGTTACGCTGTGCATTTGTGCAGGTAGCACAGATATGATGGGATATCTTTAACAAATTTCAATGAACAAATAAAATAGATGAGCTGGGACATAACTGTAAATAGTATCACTGCTGTCTCATTTGTGATATTGATGCTGTAACTTTTAGCCTGTTGCTTTTGGTTGGTTTTTGTCCTAACTAAAATTCAGTGAGTATATTGTGGCATTTTTGATTTCTCTAAACTGTCCAAACTTCAAGATTAAGATGCTGCCTTCTCTTTTTCACATACCCTTGTTGACTTTCAATATTGCTGAGCCTGCTGCTGGTGTTGCTGGAGGGGGTTTCCACACTTCTGGGTACGGAGCAATTTAATGCTGATAGGAGAAATGGGAAGTGACCAGCGGTCTGCCCAGTGTGACGGTTTTGCCTCTGCATTCTTAACGAAGAGAAAAACTTCAGTTTGGGCTTTTGTTCTAGTTTGCACATGTGGACAGTGGAAGGTAGGCATTAGGCTCATGTAATCCCATTTAAAGATTTCCCATTGTGTGCCCCTCTGAAGACAGGATCACCTTTCCTGGAAGGGAGGGTGGAGTCTTAAGACTTTACATCCTCAGGGAAGAAATGGAAATGCAGCTGTCCCTCATCCACTCATCCAATCTGCATCCCAGTCTGTTGGGTACTAAACCTTTGGCTGTATTATCACATTTACTGAGTGGATCATAAAAGCAAAAGATGGAAAAGCAAATTAATTTTTTTCCCCTAGAATTGTAAGGACAGAATACTAAAGAAACCTCTAGAAGGTCTTGAAGGAAATGTGATGGGGAAAAATACCTAACTCTGGAGTGCCTTTTTGATGAGTCATGTGCCACTTTACTTTGTACCTATTAACAGAATACCTTTGATGTTGCCTTTCTTAGCTCTCATTCCCTCCCTCTCCTGTGCTACCAAACAAAGTGGCTTTTTGGAAATCAGCCTTCCAGAGAAGTGATAATTTCATTCACCTCAGTATCTAATGCACAGCTTTCCACAAACAGATAAAAACTTTATTTATAACCTAATTTCTTACAAGCAGTGAAACATCAAAGCTGAGTTAAAAATACCGAGCCTAAATTTTCTGTTAAAGATGCTAAAATGAACTGGCCCAAGTGACCAAGCCTGATGTGAACAAGTTCTGGCATGTGTTTCTGTCTAGTGGCCAATGATAAATCCTTTCTTCCATGGTGCCACCACAGGGCATCAGAGCAGATACAAGGTGTCATGAGGGACACCAAAACATAAAACTAAGATTGCACTTAAATTTTATCCTATGAACTTATATACAATGTGCCTCAAAATCTACCTTGCATAGAAAGTCAAGATAGGCTAATGTTTCCTGTGTGCAGCTGACTAACAGCTGTAAACTTGTGGAGGATTTTTATGTGTTACTGTTATTAATACTTTGTGTGACAGAATGGTTCATTTGGCAGAACATTTATTCAGCTGAAAGCTTTTTCAAATATTAAAGGGACCCAATCTCTTAATGGAAAATATGGATTTATTTGAATAGGAGAATGGAATGTCATATTTTTAGTGCCTGTTTC